AGAGCAGAACCAGGTTCAGGTTTTGTTCAGGCACTATGAGGGACCTAACATGACCTGACGAATTTGAGAATACGACGGTATGACTTCGTTGTCAGATTTACAGGGAACCGTAGACGGAAGTGCAGATCTGCAGGCCCAATCCATCCAATCCATTCAATTTTTGGGGACTCGTTGGTGACCACTCCATGTCATCGAAATTAACCCAGTCGACTTCCAAGAATTGGTATCTTCCCCTCCCACCCATGGCTCCTGGGCCTTCCAGTTTTGAGGGGGCAGTGAGAGAGTCGAAAGAAAAAATCAAGATCCAATGAGAGGAAAATCGAATAATCTTCTTAGCCTGGGGAAAGACAAGAAGGTCCAACATCCAAAAATCTCAACACAGCTGCGCTGGACATCGAGCACTTGCTTTTGCCCAAGCATGTGGATGGCTCTAGATGCATCAAAGAGTTTGGTAGCATCTCAATGAATAGGAATGAAGTGCATCAGTTTCAATGCCCTCAAGCTAGTGTGCCTTGTGGCCTTGTGACAAGGCAAAAGCCTTTTTGGCTCGTATGCAGCAAAACCCTCTGATATCTCAATTCCACGCACTTGGTCGTTTGCAGTGATGCCACCTCCACATCTGCCCACCGACAAAAGAGTGGATCATGATCCATTCTGGAGGTCTCTGCTCCCTCTGCCAGTGGACTGCGCCAGATTGGAACGAACAGCCCCGTGTCCGTCTGGCTTGGTGGGAACCGATGGATTTGATGATATCCACCAGTCAGGGACAGTCTATGCCCAAAAGCTCCATTCAGATCCTCCTTTGACCACTCCAAGGTTTTTAAAGGTGTTTGGGGACCTGTCAGGAACGCCTGGGATCTGCCCAGCACTTTTCGGAACCCCAAAAGCTTGCACAAAATGTGCATCGAATCAATCCCTTCTCTGCGTGGCCAAACCTCAAAATTGGGCAACTCTGCCATGGAAGACAGCTGCATTGTCAGCTTTGCAAAGCAATGTGGGCGATATTATCCAAGTGAAGAGCAAAAGCTCGCACAACTTGGCCGAAAAATGGAACTCTCACACGGTCCCTCTTTAAACTCGAGCTGGCATCGCTACATGTCCAAAGCAAAACCCGTAAGAAAACAGGTGCTTGAACAACTTTAAGAACGTATTCTGGCTGACTCAGCTGAAGGGCCGGATGTACAGGGGGCGTATTCCGTTGAGGAAAAGGACATACAGTCCCACAAATCTGCAGACATTTGAGAAAAGGCTAACCTTTTTCATCGTTTTTCCCTCCTAACCTTCTTCGGCACTCAAGAAAACCCTTTGCCGAAGACAGGATGATCCAAACCTGGTTCCGCTTGGCTGGGCAGAGCTCGATCTCATTCCATTCAAGATCACTTTAAGTCGGAAGGCTTCTTAACAGATCTGCTTTCAGTTGTGTCTGGCCAGATTGCCGCCAGTCTGTCAACTGAACACTGGCCAATCTGCCTGTCGATTGGGATCTGTAAGCAGTCAAACATTGTCCAAGCAAACACAAAATTGTCAAAAAAAGCACGTGCGGGAATATGAGAACTTCCTGTAGCACGGATCTGCCGGTTTAAAGGTTAGTCAGAAGGGAGGTACCGACGAGGCATTGCGTCAATGTGGAGAGTCCAGGCAGGATCCACCATGAAAAACATCTTTGATCATGCAAGAAAACGTGTTGTGTTGTTGGCAACAAGCTTCTGCAGAGCCCAAAAGTGGCTTCTGGAATCTCAAAAAATCTGTTCTCGAGGGAAGGAGTTCACAAGATTGCACCTACTGTAGCTGGCTCTCTGGTTGTTTCTTTGAATCATCGAATCACTAGGCTGGCCCTACTCACCTAGGCCGCACAATGTTCCGCAGAACTGCCAAGGTGTGTGGATTGATCTTGCTGGAAATTTTATCACGTGATGTCTTAGGCGCACCGGTACGCAAAACGCAAAACGTAAGGTTCCGCACGTGTAATCCAAAACGTGCAGCCCCCCTCCCAAAATCCAGGCCCCATCCAAATACCTTACTGTCCTCGGGTAAATGCATCTGTGTGGTCTGGAGGTCCACTTTGCGGAAATATGTTCGTCTTTCAATACAGAAGCTATGGGCTACTGCTGGACGCTTTTCTCTCACTCTTGGAAATGCATTTGGGAATTGTTTGTGTCCAAGCTATAGGGCTATGGGGTGCTACTGGATGCGTTTGTCTGGTTCTTGAAAATGCATTTGGGATGTTTCTGTGTTCAATGGCCTTGTTCTGTTTATGCATGAGGAAGTTCCAAAAACGCGCTCCAAAAACGTGGGAACGTACGGCTGGAAACGTGAGTTTTAAAACGCAAGGTTCGATCGCACAAAACGTAAGCAACCAGGCAGCTAAGGATGATATGCTTCAAACATGGGCTTGTACTTTTTTAAGGTTCCCGGGCCGGGATGTTTGACTATGGGGTATGCTTCGGAGGTATGCTTCGGGGGTATGCTTCGGGGTATGCTTCGCGCAGTGTGAAGACTAAAGTAGTAGCATTTCCAGAGGGTATGCTTCAGGGTATGCTTCGGGGGTATGCTTCGGGGTATGCTTCGCCTAAGTCGAACATCCCAGTCCTACATAGACTGGACACCTTAAAAAAAGACAAGCCCATTTTGTTTGCAACAAGTGAACCGTGGCTGCGGCTTTGCACGGTCTTCTTCCAAAGAGTAGTATAACCCC